AACCCAAAAAATGGCTGATACTTTCCGTTTCTTCAGCTGATAAAATGCGCGTCATTACGTGATCCGTGACATAAATGCCTATGTAGAATGTTACGGACATAGCGTGCTCGAGCTTCTGAACTCGCAACACGCCAAATTTTCTCCTTTTCGTATTTCCTTCTCCCATCTGACCTCGCGCCTGTTGCGGTGCCACAACGTCTCGAACCTCGTAACATCTTCGCATCTTTCTGACAACGCGCCGATGTTGCGAGGTGTTCGCACCGCGGCAGGCTCGCATGTCAAGGATACCCGACAGTGCGAGACAGATGGATCTTTTGTAAGCCACGCTCGTCACATGTTGTGACCTTGATGTCGTAACATACAGGGAGTTCACTACCGCCCAGAAGTCTGCTTAACAATAAATTAAGCGTGGCTTGTTTATTGATCTCAGTTCCTGAACTAGTCGTGATTGATGTATTTTTAAAAGCCAAAAAACTTTCTCTAGAAGGCCCCACTGCCAAATTTTATGGAATAGAGTTTGAAATGCTGGATGCTAACTTGCGAGATAAAGTAATGCTTACTGCGTAAAAATACCCATTCTTTATGAAGGGGCCTTAATATGAGACTGTAGATTACGTAGTTGGAATCACGGTTTTGTTTGGAAAGTGGTTTAGCAGTGTTATTTGCTATACTGATTACATTTAACCACATTGCGCAATAAATTCTCACTGTGGAAATAGGATGGGTTTGCGATAAAAATTGCCTATCTATTAAAAAAACGGGAAATTGCATTGCAACTTTTTTACCATGCAAAATAGCTTCAACAAGGAAAACGAATAAGACTCGTTAATTACATGTTATCCAACGTCTATAGATCAACTTTTGGGCAAAACCAGTGAAATCGTTCCTGTATCGTATGCCTACCAATCTTGAGGTCTTATTGTGGCCATTGTATAGTCTTCGTAATTATCGTAGCCTATCACTCATTGAGTAGCGTTGCTGTGAACTCTGGGCCTCTTATCAATTCAAAAATAATTAAGTTGATCGATGTAGAAAAACTTCTGTGTTCGAAATGTGTACAATGTGTTGACAGTTGTTTCGGTCTCTTAGAACATTTCTTGATATTGAAAAATACGGTACAAACCCTTACAGTTACTTGAAAGTGCGTTGAAGTGGATTGGCAGTCGGCAAGAGTATAACGGTAATTGGTATTTCTTAGAGCATTATGTTAGCAGGCATGTGACACTAAGGCGCATCTGGTAATTACAAAAAAGAGTTAGACCTCCTAATACGATCGCAACTTTCCGGCAGTTTCACTTTGCTCGCGGCATTGATTACATTATTCACACCCTGGTCAATTATGGTGTATCTGCGTGTTTTCTCAGTAATCTCAGATTACACGCGTCCATCGATATAAGATTTAAGCAAATGGTGAACCAGGTATGCCAGCTAGAATTTATTTGTTTCATCGCTGATGAAGAGCGCTACTGACAGATCCAAGGGTAATTTTCGCAACGCTGGAATTTGTGCGATGAGGTTACTGTTGAAGCTAATTATGTCAACCAAGAGTAAAGTTTTATAAATTGCAGTAGCTACAAAATGGCAACGTTTAAGTTACATCTAGTTGTACTGTGAAGCTAAAAGTGCAAAACCCTTACAGGTATATTCTTTCCTTCAGAATACACTAATGCGTATTCTACTTTGCGAAGTCCCGCTGATATTGTTAGGCGTTTTCACGCTTGTTTATTTTCTTTTTGAAGCAGCCGAATTCCATTTCCCGTGGTAACTGCGGTGCTCACTTGATGCATGCCGAAACGATGCGCGATAAAGTCGTAATCCCATCCCCGCTCACATGTGGGCTACCAGTCTACTGGATCGCTTCGTCTATATTTTGCTTCTTGAAGTACATTTCTCGCATAAAATGGCTCTGTTCAGAAAATTTTTATAGAAGAAAAAGAACATACCTATTGGATACGATAGTGCGATAACTTGAAAATTTTTTAATGTTTGTTCCTCTGATAGACGATATCAATGAAAAGCAAATGCAAAGAAGAGAAAATTCTATTTAGTTCCCAGACGTAGGACATACCAATTATATTAAAATATGCCTTGACATTGATAACAGCAGCAAGAAAAATACAAGAAAAAAAGCAAAATATCATGAAAGTAGAGTGTAATAGTGCTATATTTAAACTTCACGCTGCTATGGTGAAGTGTCTATTGACTGGAGCTCCGACTACCTCGTCCTTGTCAAAGGTCTGAAACGAACTTGGCGTTCCATCTTTTTTCCCGCCAAATATCTCCTCCAATTTAGACAAGTCTACACCTTGTCAAGGGTGCGGGGAATGTGGTCCGTGTTGGTAACGCAAAAAGAACCAACCTTATTTCATCGACATGGCGGTTGACCGGACGCACTGATGCTGTGGACGTTACCGAACATGGACCATTGTATCAGGCTATGTATATTACGCGGTAACTCGCATAACGATAAAGAGAAGAGAGGTCACCACATACTGAAGCATTCATTTTTATTATTAACTAGCTGGCATACCCGGCTTCGCTCGGCTTTTTATGTTTTCTGCGCTGGACTTTGCATCTGACTAATCTATCTCACCTAATTGTGGAACTGCTCACATTTGTGTAGGCATAATTTAACGCATTTATTAAATAGTACTTGAAATTGAGGTTAAGTACTATGTGATTGATAGAAAGTATACAAAAAGTGCGGCTATCTTGATAAGATCGAACAGCATTCGGCGTAATGGGTTGAATAGGGTCCAATTTTAAAACCTTAAAAGCGTTGGGAGCGGGACCTGGGGCTTGCAAGCAATATGTACCCGCTCTGTGTTTAGAACTTTTCCATTTGTTGAACTAATTGCCAAGAAAAGACTGCCACCTCACCACGCCACTCCCATCGAATCAAATAAGCAAACACTCCGCATTGATGTACTTCCATTCAGTAACTACATTGGTTTGCATATCTTGCTTAAGTAGTCCGATAACGATTGATATCACTTCATTTTTAAAAATGACGTAATTTGGCCCAAAATGCGCAAATCAACGCCAT